GGTTTTTGTTTGTTTTAATTTTCAAATTTTACATTTGGCTTTTACGGCTTTCATCTAAAAAAGTTGAAAAAAATTCAATATGATTTTTGAACTGGCGTACGGAAGAATATTTGCCCGAGAAGCGAAGCTTCGAGGGCAAATATTTGTTTTAAGAACATCAAATTTCCGCGGGGCAACTATCAGCCGATAGTTCCTCGACAGAAACGCTCTATTGTTTAAATCGATAGTGAGTAGCGTAGCCAATCAGAGAGCAGCATTCGTGATAGAACGCTGGTAGATTTATACTTCAACAGAATAGATGGTGAGTCGGCGTAGCCAATCGGAGAACGGAATTCATGATAGACCGTAAGTAGATTTATACTAAAACTCGATAGAAACACGGTACTACACGGTACATGTTTTCTATTTCAATTAACTTACTTATCATAAATTAGCACGTTAACCACAAAATTCGGACCAAAATCAACTTTGAAATAGTGTAAGGTCACAAGGAAAAGTTGAGAGCGAAGCTCTCCCTTATTATATTCGCAACATACCCAGCAATTCTGGCTGAAAAATCACAAATATAAAATTTATTGGGGGTTTTTACGGATTCCCTATCGCAAGGCCCCTTATATCAGGACTGAAGTCATGGCATAATCACTGTTGTCGGAAAAAACGACTCTCTTCTGATAGGCTTCAAGTCCTGCGGCCGGGAACCTGTTCATTAACAATGGCTCTTTGTCTGGCCTCTTTGTCCAGTCCACGACGCCTATCCACCCCCAGCTCAGCCAGCCCCATCAGGGGTATTTGTTGGCCATTTATTTTTCGTCCGAATTTTGCGTCAGAAATTTAGGAGCTCATTTTCCAGGTTATAATTTGAACTTCTAGGTGAACGTAACCGGATAAAGGTAACGCTTATGTCTGCATACGAGCCTAGTGGCCCACGAGGCCGGCGTTTCTTTATCATGAAGACGCCCATGAAGCGACTAAGAGTATTTCTACTCCTCCTTGGATGGGATGCTAGTCCATCGCAGGGTCACCCCCTGCATGAAATTTGCCGGTACCCATCTATACACCTGGGTGGAGGGAGGCTCTGTGAGAGTAAAGTGTCAAATGCCCTGCTCCCGGGTAATAATGAAAGATGTGTCACATTCTGGGATTGAGTCATAAGGGACTGGTCAAAAAGTAGCTGGGAAGGGTGGGCCGCAGCAGAGAGGGGTGAATCATCAGTTTTTCACCCCTCGAATAGTAATGGGTGGGTAGTTCAATTTTTAAATACCCATGGGGGTGGGTTATCCTGTTTTATAACAGGAATTGGTACACATTTGACACAATCGACAACAGAGGTAACTCCTTCCAGTTCCAAACGATGAAAACTTTTCGAGCCGTGCCCGAAAAAGTACACTTGGCTGGTGTATAACAGAGATGGCAATTTCATGTATTGCAAAATCCGTACGAAAGCTAGAAGTATAACGGAATGAACAAGAAATCCCAGGACAGAAATTTTCAAAATACTACTCTCTTTCGACATGCTGGTCTCCAAGAACACCAAATTGCCAAACGCCCGGCTGTTGACCGAGGGGTTGGGCACAGCTCAAATTGACTGATGCGTTACTGAAAGCATCAATGAGAGCGAGATGACGCTCGGTAACTGCACTGCGTGCGGTGGTTATAGCGAACAAACCGAAATTAATAAATTTACTTAAAAGGACGATCTACACGCATTCAAAGTACTACCCTTTTATTAAAAAGCCCGTTATAACTTAAAAAGCGCGCCAATCACATTTGCTGTTTGTGTAAACATTTTATTTACATTAGTTTGTAGAGTACAGGTGGGAACGAATAGGTTTCAACCAGGCGGCCTGGGACCGAGCCGGTTCAGTTCTCGTTATTCGCAGTTCTACAGCGTTTGTTCTGAGTTTGACAAATAACTTGCAATTAAGAAATTTCTAATTTAGTTAGTATTTCCCAATTTGTACAGTAAAAACACACCATTTGGCGTCCAGTGTGAGAAATTACTGGACAGTAGCTGGATTTATATAGCAATAGCCATGGCTATGGAATTGGTTCTCAATATTTACATGGTTATCCCTGGACCTACAAAGTTGATTATGAGTCCCAGTTTCCAAAAACCCATCCATGAAATTTAGTACAAGATAAATAACTGCTTGAGATTGCATTCGTGACATCACTGGGCGTCATCGGCACAAATTCATATTTTACTGGTCGAGCGTTAAAACTGAGCACTTCCTTGACCTCCTCCTCTTCTACTGTCCCCGTGAGCCGTGACTTGTTCTTTAAAATACGATAATCCATTCACATCCGCTAGCCCAGCGTGTTCCGTTATGTTGTGACCTTTGTTTCGAAGATCATTCACTATACTCCTTGCGGTTTCACTGTCTTGAAACTTATCAGCTGAAAATAAGCATGTGTCAATGTCAAATTCTTGTGATGTTGAACGCATGGCACTATTTGTCAACGAGGGAGCGGTTTTCAATTGAGTTTCGAAAGTAATCAGGCAACTATTTGGTTTTGTAATTTTAATTTTATAACGGTTTGAGATCTGGCCAAGTAGTCAAATTGGTAAGAGGCTTGGTTTGGTTTTGGTTTTACGACACTCAATTGAAGACTGCTCTAACACTGCAGCCCTTTCGAGCCTAGTGGCCTACAACGCCAGCGGTTATCAACAAATGAAGCAACCTTAACCCCCCCCCCCCCCCTTCCTCACCCCCTTAGATGAGATGCTGGTCCATCACAGGGTTACGCCCAGGATTTAACTGCGTTGTTTAATAGAGAGAGGTAAGTACAGTATCTTACCCTAGGACACCACACAAAAGGACTCGAACCCAAGCCGCTCGATCCGTAGTCGAACGCGTTTACTTGTCACTAGGCTACCGCTTCTTCGCAGTTTTACATTGTAGTGTTGAACACCCGAATCCAAAACCATACTGATTGCATGCCTACACCCACCAACGTTTCATGGGGGATTTTTCCCATATTTCAAATTCTTTTACCCCCAATCCCTTTTTCCTTCCTCATACGTGAACGTCTCTCCTAAGTCAATAAAATCTTTTGTCAAACTGAGTTCGGCACCTTCAAAAACGGACTACAAGCAAGAAGCAACATACCTTCAATTTCTGGAATGCCACTTCTTATTGCATAATATACTCTTGGTTTTTCTATAGATTGACTCAACGAGTCGTTGAACGCAAGATGATTGACTATAACTTCAGCTACAGCTGGTGTTATGTGGTCGCCACCAGCTGCTCCCAGTGACATACGGAACCAACAACGCTTCTGAAAAAAAAAACATAAGAAGAGAGAAAGAAAAGTAAGTGTCATTGTTATATGTATATGCATCCG